TAACTATTCGCAAATAAATTTGGCTTGGTGATTTTGTGAACAATCGAACCTGAGCATTAATTCTTGTCTTTTTTTTCTCAACAAGCCTTTCATTAATTTAAACGATCAGAGTACAAAAAGAGGAAATTAAGCATCCTCCACCATTAATAGAACATAATTGAAGTGCGATAAAACATAAATCAGATAGATCATCGTAGAAGATGGACAGCGGATCCAAGACATGTCTCGGATGCATCAAGAGTGTCTTCGCGGCAAGGCCGAAGAGTCTCAGGGTAGTCACTTTCCATTGTGACTTTGAAAATCCCGGCAAAAAACACGGGGGTTCGACCACTCTCCATGAGAGGGAAGAAAATATGACCATGCTCAACGAGATGGAAGAAGGTGGAATAAAACTCTTCCACCGAGAGTAACTTACAGGATTTGAGAATCCAAAAAATTTCGATCCTCTCTCAACAGAGAAGATATCACGCTCGCAGATTACTAGATTTAGAAATCCATAAAATACGTGGATCTATGAATCTCAACGATTGATGAAATGAAGCACTACTAAGGCAAATTGGTCTCTCCAGGCTCAATTTGGAGGACAAGGATTTTAACGAGCTCTGTAACATCTTGCCTAAATCGAGAAGAGAGTCGGCATCCAAAATTAAGATCGATGAAGAGTATGAATACGTTTCTGATACCAATCCTAACAAGGTGACATACACATCCAAAATTAAGGTCGAAGGAGAGTATGAGCACGGATGATAACTAACCCGAGGAGGTTGACAAAACCATCCCGAAACGAGGACACACTTCGTTATTGGGCCAACTTTGTCGCTCAGGCTTACTATGGTGAAGGCAAGGTCCACTTCCTTCTTCAACCCCAAACCCCTTTCAAAAACCCAAGGCAGAATAACAGATTTTCTCCCGAGCCCTTGTTGGGCTAATACTCTTGTTGGGCTAATATGTCCAAAATTATTGGGCCAACTGAAGCCCAAGATAAACATTAACTAGGCTAGGCCCATTAAAGGAGGATGCTTGGAAACGGTGATGGGATCTAAGTGCTCGGGGGCGGAGATCTTTAGCCGGAACAATGTTGCGATAGAGAGCTCGGAGGGAACAACCAGTCCAGAGATCTTTCTCTTCAGTCTCAAGTCAGCACGATGGAAGGTTGATGGGAGTTGTGGCAAACAGCGGCATGTGTACGTTTTTGGTGAGCAACGCAGCGGTGGCCCGACGACATCAGCCATTGCCGAATAAATTGTCCGGTTAAACGAGATTGATCTTTGCCGCGACGTGGAGGAGTCTACGGGGAGATAGGTTTCAAGCCGTAGAGGAGGAAAAACAGTGTATTGGGAGACATGGTCCACGACAGGTAGATTAGAAATGACCTGCCCGTCAAGCCCATGTCATCTCCCGTACCAGAGCGGTGAGCGGCAAGAGAGGGAGAGGCTTTATTGTCGACAGTGGGCAGAAGATCACGTCGACAGCACATAAGTAGTAGGTCTGGCGGATCCGGCGGGTCCGGAGGCTCCGGTGGGGAGCTACGGTCAAGCCAGCCGCAGAGCAGAGATGCAGCGGTTGAGTCGGATTCCGAGTCCATGGTCAAACTTACCGGTGACCAAGAAGCTTCGGAGGGAGGCGAGAGATAAGTCTTCGTGAAGCTCATGTGCATGAGAAGATGAGACAGCACCGATCAGAGGGAGGAGGATTATCGCCAGAGGTTGAGAACCATGTTTAAAGCCGAGGGCGGCTACCTCGAACTTCGGGTCTGGGAGCTTTTTAGATTAGGGCAAACATCTTTATTTGATGAATTCTTGTCTTTATTCACTAAATTTGCAAAGAAATTTAGAATTTAGGGATTTAGTCATAGATAACCTCTGTAACGAAAGTTAATT